CCCCCCAAAATACGCCACTGAATAGATGCTGCAATTGAAATATTCAGAACTATATTTCGTATAGTTATATTCTAAAGCACTTTTAAATATACTGATCCTTTTGGCTAATGTATGTTTGAATCGTCTAAAGCCTTAATAAAAGTCCACATCTCCCGGTTCCCTACTATTAACGTAACTAAAAATAACGGGTAACTGGTAGTTGTGGCGTGTGTTGGGTAAAAGAGAAGAGTTATTTTAGTTCGAGGTATGTTTCGAGGGTAATAAAATAATAAAGAAAAGTAGATATAAAAAGAAATTATTAAGGTTCCTCTTATAAAGATATTACAAATGACCCAACTGGTAAGTACCTGGAATGATACACTGAGGCAACGAAGAGGCGGTGGTCATCTCACAAATACCATGTAATGAGATTATGTATAAGGTACGAACTAGTCAGTAATAATTAATTAAAGTTTGAAAATTAATCTAAATATTTGATCTACTGCTTTATCGTTCTTTAATCAGATTATTAATTCTAAATAATTAGGTGTTAATATAATATAATTGTTGACTCTTATTTATTTTAAATCTTATCTGATAATTATTTTTTGTTCTTATAACAACTTTTAATAGTATCAAGTAATAATACAAATTCTAATTTTTAGTTCATAAAGTAACACATAAGAATTTCGACAATGATGTTTACAAACTTAACGTATCGATGTTGATAGCGTGATTGGAACAGTCGAGAGTGCGATTACAACAGACGAGTAAGCGATTTGAACAAAACAACTATGAGAGATTGCTCTGCCTTTTATAATATTTTATATCCCTGAAAATCATCATTGTCTCATTCTTGCAATGTTGTTGTTTATTGATAAGTAATCATGAGATATAGAAATTAATATATAAATTAGCATAAAATATGTTCGAACCAGACGACAAGGCGTGGTGATTAGTTCTTATCAGCCGTTTACATTTACAACTCGTTGNACAAGGCGTGGTGATTAGTTCTTATCAGCCGTTTACATTTACAACTCGTTGCGCCGGCGCTTGCTAAAAAAAAATAGTTGTTGTTCCTATCTTTTTTTTTTTTTGCTATGATCAGTTACACAGCGTAAATTAAGTGTGGCCTTTGAGTTTGTTGCCAGTTATAATTATTCTCGTTTTGTTATAACTAAAAATTATCGGTGACCGAAAATATTGTTTTGTTCGGCGGTATAATATTGCGGTTTTGGTTTGAAATTACGGTTTTGGTTCACGTTATTGAGGATTAACGTGCAATTGGCGAGGCTGAGGCGTATCGTATTGTAGCGACCTACGGAACATTTAAAAGCGTCTCGAGTCAAACACGAGTGGAAGAAAACAATTAACAGATCGGATCGGTTAAAAATATTTATTGTATATATATAACATTTATTTGTGTGAAACATTGTTCAAGTATGGGGACGCCCGCTTAAATGAAATGAATATTATTATATTATTATTAAAATATTTTTAAATAGCTTAATTAATAGGAAAAAAGAGGTATTGTTTAATCTCTGGGTGATCGGCCGGCGGTAGTTGTAACAAGATATATAAATTGTTATAATAAATGACGTAAAATTTTACATGTGAATAACATACAAATCATTTTGATATTTAATATAACGTTCATATTGTTTGTTTTTACATTTAAGATTAGGGCTGACACTTTGTTTTTATTATTAATATAAGAGTAAAAATAGCTGATAAGTATAATTTATAAATTTCTTAAAGATTAATTTTTAAAGATAACTAATAATTGATTCATGTCTGAATCGTGGGTAATATAATTTATTCAGTAACAGTATGCATTTGTTAAATATTTCTCAAAGTTATTTATTTAAATTACTTGTTTTATTATAATAATCATGTTATTCTAATAATATGAATATAATTATTGTTAATAATCTTAAATGAAAAGATTAAATGAACGACCATTATTGTAGACACAGAGAGTAGCCTACAGTTATCCCATATTGATAGTGACGAGTATATTATGACACTATCAAGCTATCCATGGACTCGACGTTTAACGAGAATCCAAGACAGAATTCCTCTAACATAACTTTACTGAGCCCACTCCTCACTACAGACAATGGCAACTACAGACAAACGTCCATACAATGACCGCACATCGACGTGGCTGTTATACGAATACAAGATATTTGTTAGAGCAGCTGTAGTCGGAAATTACTTATGCAATTAGTTTATGGTAAACACAGTAATTTAAAAATCTTTAATTTCTACTGAAATTAAATTAAAAGTGTACTTATTTGGTTTAGATTCACCACCTATATTATTTGTAATAAAATAATAAAACCTTATGTAAAAATTATATTTGCATTATTAAAAACTCATAAAGAGTTAGGTGAATATTATAGAAACGACAATACTCAATATCTAAGTTTTAATGAAAATATAAAATTAATGTATACAGAGTGGCCCAACACTCACTGACAACTTAAATAACTTTTGATCCAGTTAATATTTTTAGTTGATTTTTTTTTAAATAATAGTTATACGTTAGGTCTATAGCTATATCTCAATAATTAATTTTTTTACATTTTATTAAAAATATTAATTATTTTTAAATTTTAAATAACTATTATTTAAAAAAAAAATCAACTAAAAATATTAACTGGATCAAAAGTTATTTAAGTTGTCAGTGAGTGGTGGGCCACCTGTATTTTACAAATAAAATTTGTATTTAGCCTTGTATTTGACGTGAATGTAAATAATTTATTAAGGAAATGTCGAGACAGTATCAATCGCATTTTAAGTTCCCATTTTTGTGATTGAGTTTTTATTTTATTTTTTTCAATTGGTAATTCATATTATTATATTAATTTACATTATTTTTATTTTTGTTAAAGTAGTAGGTAATTTTTCTTATTTTAGTGTGCTAAAGTGCAATTGATAATGAAGTCATGAGGGTAACTAGCAAGAATGCTACATCACTTCNGTATTGGTGTGTCGGATTGTGCTGGGTGGTTGGTTAGGTCTGGTGTGTTATTGATTATTCTTTGCGCCCTTAATTCCGCGCATGGACCTGATGCCTTTGCTAAATGACCATTTAAAGAAACGTATTTTTTACCGCAACCAGGACATTCGATTTTTGGTTTGGCACTTCTAGCTGTACCCGCGCTAATATTCATTCTGTCGCTTTGTAAATACGGAAATAAAAATTCGGAAACAATAATGACGGGCGTTAAAGTCTCCAATCTGAAGTTCGCAACGGTTTGGTGTAGAAATGATAAAGCTAGTAGTAGTGATAACGAGATTAACTTACGTGATCTTGAAATCAAAACCGCAACAAACTTTGTAAGAAAAATTCATTTAGAAAGAAAAGTAGAACTTACAAATAAGGTCAATTAAACAGTGTGGTTTCTTCTGTTTAATTACAGTATAATTTAAAAAAATTATGTAAAATTCACTTTAGAAAATAAAAATTTAAAAATTTAGGTGAGAGCACAAACGCACTGTTTGTAAAAAAAAAAAAGTTTTTAAAAAAATTAAAATTTACGAAAAATGTATATAAAAATTTCTTAAAATTCTTTTTAAAGTTTTTTTTAGCTTCGATGCGAAGCTGAGAAGATATTAGTTTTACTAAGATGTGTTTATTTTTTTTTTTGTGTCTGTTACCACTTTTTCTCAGCTCTCACTGAACGAATTTCTTTCAACGATACGTCAAAAGATCACAAATTGTATCTAGTTGAAGACATTACCCTCAAAAATTGAAAAAATTTCCCTCGTTCACCGTAAATGGGGGAAACCTCCAAAAAAATTACAAATTTAAAAATCGTTAATGTAATGTACTTTATTATGAAAAAAAAAAATTTGACCTCTGGACTTGTCTTCGTGGTGAAAATAGACATCAAAGTTAATAAAAAATTACGATTTTTGTGAAATAATTTTTTTTTTATATTTTTAACTTAATAATGCTATAACATTTTCAAAAATGAATATGTCAATATAATTTTTTTTTTTATAGATGCTTAATGTCTTTATCTATCATTTGGTATATATTTTTTGTAAATCTGACACATAACCTGCCCACAGGGGGTATTTAAAATGACAACTTTTTTACAAAAAATTAACTTTTTCGACTTGACTTTTGAAAATGTTCCGGAAGGTCTGACACTTTTATATATATCTTAAATTAATGCTAATGTAATATTCTTTAATTTGAAAAAAAAATTTTGACCTCTGGACTTGTCTTCGTGGTGAAAATGGCTACCGAATGCTATTTTTGTGTGATATTATTTCTCGATATTATTTTTTACATTTTTAACTTTATTATGCTATAACTTTTTGAAAAATATATGGATTACTACAATTTTTTTATGAGAAATAATATTTTTTAATAATCTCTTTATCATTCGACATACTTTATCTTAATCAGGATATTAATAAGGAACTAGCAGATCATGTAGCTTTTGGAATAATACATCAATTTTTTAAAATTAAACACTATCTAAAGATTTGCATCGAAGCGTTTTAATTTGTAATAATACTTGATCCAACTATGCCACGTCACCACTGTGCCGCGTCCCACCTGTGCTGGGTTTTTTT